AGTATCTCTTATAACTCAAGCCCCAAGCTAGATACAGGTTATAGATTACTCTAAAAAAACCCAGCCATTCGACAGTGTCACTTGCTGAAATTTCACTTATGTTTTAGACCACAAGTGTAGGACTTACAATTTTCTCAATCATGACAGTTTTGCTAAGCCAATCTGAGTCTCTGCTCTTTTGACCTCAAACAACTAACCCTCCCAGGACACAAAATGAAAATTTCAGCTTCCGTCAGGGAAGGCTATTTCAACATCTCCCCTTCTATCTTGAACTACCTACACTACTACCCTAGGCATGTTCTTTGTGGCAATCAAGTTCTCCTGTGCCTCCCTTCCAATGAAATGAGTGTTTTGTAGCATTGCTTATCTAAGACTCAATACACAAATTGCCCCCTAAAAACAAGCTTTTCCAAGTTCTCCTTTCCACTTTCATTTTGTCAAAAGAGGGAATTACTTTAATCCTTCTCTTAGTAGGTTTAGGAATTGTCATGAGAGTGGAAACTAGAGCTATGGGTTTGGAATAGCCTCAAGTGCCTACCATACCTACTCCCTCAAACTCTCTGAGGACACTACCTAGATCTCTACAGCCTTAAAGGCCTTACAAGACCACATAGATGCTCTAGCTGTCAGACCCTTCAAGGGTTGGATGTGCTCACTGCAGCACAGAAGGGTCTCTGCATGACCTTGGGAGAACAATGTTGCCACCATTCTAACCAATCAGGCATTGTACACTACACTGTAAGTATTCTTGAAGATCAGGCAACCCAATTGTAGAAATAAGGACTCAACATCTGACTCTCCTGGAAACACACTTGGGTATGGGTTGCCTGGCTGTTACCCTTTCTTGGAACTCTAATGGAGAAATTCTACTTGTACATATTTGAACTCTTTCTACTTCATTGTCTCACACAATTTATCTTTACCAGAATCCAATAAATCTACCTAAAACTGTTATCCCAAGAATGCTTCCAGCTTCTTTCCACTAATAGAGACTTCCCACCTACTTGGCTCTCAAAAGGGTAACCTAATATTTCCACCTTACAACTACTCCTGACCCACTCAGTGTACTATCAATAATGACCAGTGGCCAATGAACAATATTAAAATCTCAACCTCACTTTCTTTGTCCCTGCCCCAGCAAGAAGGAGCTTCAGAAGATGAAAACCCTTCTAAGTTCAATGATTTGACTTTGTCTACTTGTCAGAGGATAATGTGTTGGCAATAGGGCAATGAAAATATTTTTCATTATGGACAGTAGGGCAATGAGAATGTATTGCATACTTTGGACCACAGGTGTACATTTGACAACCAACATTCAAGAGGTGAAAACACAACACCCAGGAACATGAGTGTAGTGTGCTCAGTTGCCTTTCACAGTCAAGGATATAATTTCCAATGGCTAAGTGGCAGACCCTCCCTCAATCTCCTACTAAAAAAAGCATTCCCTCCACACTCTGGTGCCATCCTGTCTCCTGACTGCCCCACTGTCTCTCAAGGTATGCACTTTAAACAGTTACCTTCAGCAGTTATTCTACTCTTGGTAAATTATTGTTCTGCCTTTGTCCTGGGCGTCCAATATGCCACCAAGCATGGCAAAAAGATAAAATTACATGTTTAATTGACCCTTATTCATGATTCGTGAATCTGGGTAGCCTCCATTCTGCAAAAGGGAAGGAGAACAGACAAAACAGCAAAACAGTGAGTTTCATAAGGTGGTGACAAGGAAAAAAACAACAGAGGAAAATCTCATTGATTTATACCAAGTTACTTTGAGTTCCTATTTTGGCAAAGAATAAAGTAGAAGGGAGTCATCTCTGACAAAACTAAACAAAAAAGGGGGATATAAATGAAAGGCTATTTTGTAGTGAAAAAATATACATACATATATCTGTATATACAATATAGTTAGGATGATATATGGCTACTTTCTCTTAGTTCAATGAGAAGAAAGATTTATATTAATAGTGTTTAGACAAGATATCATGTCTGCATCTTGTACTATGAATAACTACTACAAAGACAATAGTACGCAATGTATTATTATTGTAACTGTCCTACTAACCTGTTTTGAAACTGTTTCATTGCTTTCTTTCTCAATAAAATTAATTTTAAAAAATAAAGTAGATGGGATTACTGTAATCTTCTGCTTGGGGGAAAAACTGGCATGTTTGGGTTTATCTGTTTCCTTAAAGTATTGGTTTGATTATTGAGTGGCTCCATTTTGTTTGGGTCTGACATGGTAGGACCTATTGCAGGATCTCAGTTCGAAAAAAATGTTGCTCCACATAATTACTATTTAACAGAATGTGATTAATGTTGCATATGAATCTTGTATCGTACAATCTTGTTCATCTAATTTATCAGCTCTCATCACTTTTTGTCATTAATTTCTTCAGATTATATCTGCATAAGTTCATGTCATCATTTAATACTGATAGTTTTAGCCTTTCTTTTCTAAATTGGATGACCCTTCTTTCTTTGGCTTATTTCACTGAACTGCTTAGGATCTCCACTCTGATGCTCATCTTATTTCTGCTTTCAGTAGCTCTCTATCAAATGTGGTGTTAACCATGGGATTCTCCTAGATGACTTGTAGCAGGTTGAGAAAGTTCTTCTCACAGTTTTCTTAATGTTTTGATCACAAAAAAATTGTTGGAATTTTTCTGATGATTTTTCTGCATTAACGGAAATGATCATGTGTGTGTGTGTGTGTTTTCTTCCTTTCATTATTGTAAAACAATGTATGACATTGATTGTTTTTGTTACCTTCATATTCCTGGCATATTTGTTCCACTTTGTTATTGGAATAATTCTTTTTATATTTGCTGGATTCAGATTACTTTCTTCTTTAGCCTATTTCCTCCAACTATTATCTCCTGCCTCAGGCTGTCTTCATGTTAAATTGCTGCTTATTTTTTCCAACCAATGCCCTGGGGAACAGGCTGTTAATACTGAGTCAGCTCACATAAAGACAAGCTCTGTAAATAGGACTTTTCTAGGGAGTCATATGACAGGTCATATAATGACAATTCTGTGGGGATAGGTCTATTTAGGGTGACTCAAACCCAGTCTGGTATCCTCCAGTGGGTCCCAAATGGCTACTTTTCACAGCTACAGTGGTTCCAAGGTTTTTGGGTTTCAATGTTATTGTGGAGGTAAAGGAATACGAAAATAAGGCAAGTCAAAATATAAAACTTGCTGTTCTTACCAATATTCAACCATTTCATTTGAATAAATTCTTCTCTGATTATTGTAAGCTTTTGATTAATTTGTACAGTTGTGGAAGAGTTGATTTTGAAAAATTTTCTGATGTCTTGTTGGTATTTTGGAAAAGTGGGTTTTCAAAAGTCTTTATTATGCCATTGTGGAAGGGTTTCCCTACATGACTTTTTAAGTTTTCATGAGAAGTGGTATTGTACTTTCGTGACAATTACTGCAAATGATAGAGTCTCTGAACAATTCTCCCCTTTGGGAACTTCAAGACAAACCATCAGGAAAATAAACTTTGAGTAGTGTAGGATCTTTTTAAAATCCAGAATCCTAAGTATTTCTCTGGTACTGGGAGCATGTTTTATTCCCCATTATATTCTCAACATTTTGAAAAGTGTCTGGCACAAGGTTGATACCAAGTAGCTATTTTTTGAATGAGGCATCCATGCGCAATTGTTTTGGAGCTCTCCAAATCTTTCTTTAGTGTATACAGTGATTTCTTGGTCAGGCAAAAGGGAGAAAAAGCATGGAGGGGTATGCATAAGAGATTTCTACAGGTCAAGCTTGGAAGCATCACACAGTATTTTCTCTTCCTACTCCAACAGGGAGAAATTAGTCATGTGGCACACCTCACTACTAGGGAAAATGGAAGATACAGTCCATCTGTGTGCTTAAGGAGAAGAATAGCATTGATAGGAAACTTGGGACTGCAGATATATGAACAGTTAAATAGTTAGTTTGCCTTGGAGATTGCCTAAATGATGGAAGAGGTTTGTTGCCTTTGTAGTAGGAAACTATATGGTGAAGCTCTGTTTAACCTGTCTCATGGGATGCTGAAATATTAAAACGTAGACAGTATTTAAAATCATAGTTGACAGTTTAGTTCCTTATTGAGTCATTTACCAGGAAGTAGCAGCTGGAGGGTGACTTACAATGCTGATGATTCCTTAATTATTAATCACTGACACTTTGTAGATTGCTTGTAAGTAGAATCCCAGCTGAGTTAGTGTACAATATTGTAATGTTGGCCCCCAAATATTATTTCCTCTGTTGCATGTCTAGGCTAGAGGGGGTGTTAAATAGATGACAAAAGTAGCAACCTGATTCATTGCAAGACAACAAAAAATGTTCAAAACAAAATGAGTAAAAAAGGCAAAGTCAAAAAATTCATTTCTATTTTTTTCATTAAAATGAATAAAAAAATTTTAAAAAGGAACTCGTTTCCATTTCAAACCATAGTTACAGGCATGGCACATTCTCTGCCAGTTTGTTTGCCCAGAGTGCATGTTAGACGATGACCTTATGTAGGCTAGCGGAATGAGTACAAGTGATTCACATTGAAATGAAATATCCTTAGGACTCTTTGTAAGGAATGTCTAGAGGGAATCTGTAAAGCTAATTCTCCAGCTCTTTCTCCCACCTCTACCCCAGGGTCGCATTTAGTCTGTCTGTCATAGTACCTGGACATCTGAATTTTTTAATGTTCCCTGGAAGTTTTTGATGCAGAGCCAAGTTTGCAGAACCACTGCCCTAACTTGATGGGACAAGAAACAAGGAGACATGCCAAAGCAAAAACCAAATAATTATTTTGATTTAATATATGAAAAAATATAATCAACCCAAAGGAAAATCTATTGACATTGCTTGACATATAGAGCTATTTGTTTGGTTAGACCTATTCATGGAAAATAAGCCTCTTCTAGGGATGAGCTTCTATTTCAGCTGACCTTACAAATGCAGATTTTCTTGTGGATATCCCCTATGCTTAACTTGTTCTCTTCTTTTTGCAGTTTGTTGCTCAGCCCAACTGCCAACAGTTGCTTGCCACACTGTGGTACGATGGCTTCCCTGGATGGCGGCGGAAACACTGGGTAGTCAAGCTTCTGACCTGTATGACCATTGGATTCCTGTTTCCCATGCTGTCTATAGCCTATCTGATCTCACCCAGGAGCAACCTTGGGCTGTTCATCAAGAAACCCTTTATCAAGTTCATCTGCCACACAGCATCCTATTTGACCTTCCTCTTCATGCTTCTCTTGGCTTCTCAGCATATTGTCAGGACAGACCTCCATGTGCAGGGGCCTCCTCCAACTGTGGTGGAATGGATGATATTGCCTTGGGTTCTAGGTGAGTCAAAGAGACTTGAAGCAATGGCCAGATTGCTTTCTGATCTCCTTTTAAGAAATGCTGCAAAGGAATTCAGACTAGCTCCATACTAGGACACTTGCCCTCTATGTAGAGGAGTAGTCCTTTAATTTAGAATATGATCAACTTGGTTACCTCAAAATTCATGAGGAAGTATGTCTTCACTACTTAGTGGAAAGTAAGGACTGTGGGACAATGCTGATCTACCCCTTCTATTGATGAGATTGCATCTGCTCCAAAATGGAAGAAGGTAGTATCAGGCACCTAAAGTTGTAACAGAAAAAGAAAGACAAAATTCCAAAAACATTCCAGTAACTGTGCACAAAGTAAGTAGTACCCAGTGAAGTATAAGTTATGAGCATCATTAGGAAAAGACTATTAGGTTTGACAACATTGAGACTGGGCATGAAGGTAAGAAAGAAAGGAGGTAAATAATTACTACCTCTTGAGCTTCACTGCACTGACTCCAACTCACACATTGATTTCATCTTTATTTACTGGGGGGATCCTGCTGTGATGTCCAGGACTGCTCTTATGTAGAAATAAACTTCTTTGCCTCCATTCTTCAGGTTTCATTTGGGGAGAGATTAAGGAAATGTGGGATGGTGGATTTACTGAATACATCCATGATTGGTGGAATCTGATGGATTTTGCAATGAACTCCCTCTACTTAGCAACTATTTCCCTGAAAATTGTGGCCTATGTCAAGGTAAACTGGAGTGTCGCGAATTTTTCTTAAATAATGATTTTGGTTAATAAACTTTTTCCTGAGAACATGAAGAGTTTAGAAAAAGCAATGATGGAGCTCTTATCTGTGTGGGAAAACATCATATTAACATGCTCACAGTGGTTTGTAAGCACTGGCAAAGCAAATAAAATGGGGAATGGTATAATTTGTAAAATAATCATTATTTTTTTAGATTCTCAGGTTAAAACTCTCTTCAGCATTCTGTGATTAAATCTTTTCTATAGTGTTCTTGCCAAAATGATGACCCACTGATGCTTCCATAGGGCAGACACTGAAAACTCACTTATTTCACTATCTCCATAAATTCCTCTTAGACCTTGTCACTTCACTCAAAGCTGATA